GACAAATGATGAACTGGAAATTGAGGGGTAATCTTTGAGGGGTAATCTTTGAAAATCTCCAGTGTACGCTAACCCCAGCAGCTCAAACAATTGTCTGAAAATGACAAATGATGAACTGGAAAATCTCCAGTGTACGCTAACCCCAGCAGCTCAAACAATTGTCTGAAAATGACAAATGATGAACTGGAAAATCTCCAGTGTACGCTAACCCCAGCAGCTCAAACAATTGTCTGAAAATGACAAATGATGAACTGGAAATTGAGGGGTAATCTTTGAGGGGTAATCTTTGAAAATCTCCAGTGTACGCTAACCCCAGCAGCTCAAGCAAGTCGCTATTCTTACAAACTGTAGAAATCCAAGTTTGACAGGATTTCTCCTAATCAGATCACCATTCTAATCTCCCACATTTTTCATTTTAATGACATCCAAATTGATAGTTTTACTACTTTAATTCACATACTTTGGTCCACAGAAACTAAAAATAAAAGGGGAACAAATATCACACAGTTATTATTTCAGCAATAAACGAGGAAAAAAACCGACCTTGATCGAAAGTGTTGGAGGCGTCGGAGAGTCGGAAGCTTCAGCGATGTCGGAGGAAGTGTCAGAGGGTCGGAGGCGGCGTCGGATGGTTGGAGCTGCGCCGATTTGGAGTGGAGGTCGCGTCGAAGGCTTCAGCGAGGTCGGAGGCTTCAGCGAGGTCGGAGGTTTCGTCGGAGGCTTCAGCGAGGTCGGAAGTTGCGTCGGAGGGTCGGAGGCGGCGTTGGAGGGTCGGAGCGGCGCCGATTTGGAGCGGAGGCGACGAAGTTAGGGTTGAGGGAGAGCAAATGGGATCGGGGTTTGATTTGGGGGAAATGAGACGGAAAGTTGAAAACACCTGAAATAGGTGTTTTGGAAAAAGTGTGGATTTTCTGTGTTTTGTGAAGGGGCAGCTCAAAAAAACACCCCAGTTCCCAAACATGGTTACGTGTTTTTTTGAAAAAAAAAAAACGAAAATGGGAGAAACACAATGGTAGCCAAAGAAATCTGCCAACGTCGTTACGCTAGCTTTACAGACAAGCTACAGACATAACGTCCAAATATGATCATGGAACTAATATAACTTTTCTGTATATATGATCCATCTCTATCTTAGTTCAGGACAAAGTAGATATTTATTTGGAATAACTTGATGGTTTGGAAATTTTGAATATGAGATGTTAAAGGGGGCTTCAATAGAGATGCGCAATTCACCAATAGATGCGATCCCTTCCACTAAAAGCACTTAATAGTTTACTGTATACTATTTTTTCCCTTCTTAATCAAACTCCATTTTTATGATTAAGATAGTTGCTAGATTACGCAATGAGAGACAACGGGGGTGGCAACAAAGCTTGCCTTTTAGCCCAAGCTAACACCAAATTAGTGAATCAAAATATTCTGTCAATTTGACGTGCCTTCCCCCTTTATGGTTATGTTAAGTAGAGATTAGGACCCTCCTCCGTAACGTCATTTCTAAACGTTCTTAGATCAGGACACTTGTCTTAGCCGTTTGTTAAAATAAAGGATGTTGGAAGCCATACTTTTAAGTAACATAATATTAACTAGGGTTTTTCTAACGGAGAGGTAACGAGAGAAATTAGTGAAAATAAAGGGAAATAAAGGGAGCACGCTTGATTTTCATTCTTCGTCTCTCTCGTCCTCTAACTAGGGATTTAGGGGCTGTTTGTTTGCATAAGGGGGAAGGGGAAAACCTGCCAAAAGTATCAGTTTTCACAGGCTTACTTGTAAAAACGTCTTTTTTAGAGGCGTTTTTACAAAAAAGCCTGTCAAAACTGACACTTTTGACAGGCTTTCAACCCATTTCCCCCTCTAAAAGAGGCAACCAAACGCGCCCTTAGAGAAACCATATTCTTGTTTTGGTGTGAACGAGATTTGTATGAGATTTCAGACGTCAGTACGATGAGCACCTAAATCCTTCATCCAGTTATTGACAAAGACCCGAAAACGGCAACCCACTAGATTCAACTTTTGCCTGGCCCAATTCTAATTTATCTCATTTATTCCTTTGAATTTAACTTCCATCACTGAATTCCTACAGGACATGGACATTCTCAGACTTTGAACGAACGTGCCCTTTCAGATGCGTTCAACATTAAACACGGATGAATCTGACTTTTGAATGGATGACTTTTTTTGTTTTTTTTTTCGGCCCCCAGCCCCAAGATGCACACCCCTCTACTATAAAAAAGTAAAACGGAAGGCCGCCTTCAAAATCCAGAAACTCAAGCCTTCATTCTTCATTCTCAAATGGATACAACTACAATTGAAGACCTACACTCCGACGTCCTCATCCAAACTCACGGAAAATGGACGGGGCCGGCGGCCGCTCAGGCCGTAAAGCAGGCCTCCTGTCCTCCCTCCTCGCGCGTCCGTGCGGCCTTCCGATTCTAACCCTCTGGCGCCGCCTCTGTCTCTCGCACGTGGCGCATGCCCTACCACCAATCTCACGGCCTCCTCCCCTGGTCTCGCGGCCTCCCCCGTCGCCGCTTCTTCTCTCAGTCATTCCCACTTGACCGGCGTCTCCGAGGAGAAAATGGCGCGTTGAGCGCTTACCCACCGAGCTGCATATCGGGCCGTGTCGACGATATACACCAAGGGGCATACGCCGTCTTTTCTCGCGCGTTCGAGACCGACGCCTCCTTCCGTCATGGTGTCGCTCACAGCTTCGCGCCGTGCAGCATCTGCGCGCTCGAGCCACGATGAGGATGGCGACACGCAGCTGGGCCGGTGGGGGGAAAAGGACCCGAGTCGCAAGGAACTGCCGATCAGCTGTCGACCCAGGGCTGGTGATTACGATGCGAAGCACCCTGATGCAGGCTGTGCGACCGGGGAATGGGCGATTAACCCCGGAGACCTCACCGTCAGCTGGGGCGGTGATTGGACACCGAGGCCGAACCGGTCGGGCCGTGAACGTTGTGCTAGGCCGAGCGGCGGTCGGCTGTCGAGCGCCATTGTACCTGTCCGGCGACACCCTCGCTTCGCGTTTGGGCGTGGTGTCTCGCGCGCGGTGCTGTGAGTGGTGGTGGTGACGCGCAGGGGTAGGAGACGGGGCACGTGAGGGAGGATGAGAGATGACGGTGAGGATTTTGATGGGAGGGGGGTGAGGGGGAGGGAGGGGTTGGGGATTTTGAAAGGGGCGATGGAGGGAGGGAGGAGGGGGGCAAAATGGGAAGAGGAGGTCAAGAGGGAGTATCAGGAGTACGCGAGGAGGAAGGGGGAGAGGGTAGAGAGGAAGGCGAGGAGAGAGGAGGCGATGAATTTGTGGTGCGCTGGGCTTGGGGCTTTCTTGAGCTTCCTCATGCTTATGGCTTTCAGATCATACGTTTGAGCTAGCTTGAGTTTTAAAGGGGTTTCGTAATGCATTTTAATTGCACAGAAAGAGAGAAAAATGTAGAGTATATGTGGAGAGAGAAATCATGTTCGCGCTTGTTCGTTTCTTTGCTCTGATGAAGAATACAACATTTCTCAGAGTTTCAAAAATTAGAACCCATTCCATGAGAATTATGGGTGAAGCATCAAGAATCTGCCTATTTACTTTTTGTCTACGTGCCGCTACTTTCAGCAATTTTATTTCTCATGGCTATAATGACCATACTTGGCCTAACAACACCAATGTTTTAACACTAACAATGTCCTAATGCGAATTTTCGGCGGAATCAGGTTTTGAAAAATGTTCAAGCCTTATACACGTTTAGACAAAGGAGACGATGGCTCAAAATAGAACGCAACGGAAGAATAATATTCATGTACCTCACCTTAAAACGTTTGGAATAAGGACTTTGTTGTTGTTGTTGTTGTATGCAAACTGCGGCAGTCTGGTTTAGGATTCATCTCATACTATCAGAAACATAACGATTATCTTGACGTGTACCATACAACAAGTTGAG